CCACTTACCTATATATATATATATATATATATATATATTATTAAATATCTACATTTATTTTTTAAAATATTATAATTAAAAATATATAATTATATTTATTTAAAGAAGAGACTACAAAACACCTATGGGCGAAAATGAACAGTATTTTCGCCCATATGCTCGGCACCATCTAATTTTTTGGGACAGCATGGATTAAAGATTGTCACAGACTTAGCATGTCCGTGGCGGTCCGTCACGGACATAGCAAGTCCATGACGGGATTTTTTTCATGCAAAAATATGGGGGAGCCGTCACGACTCCCGTAGAATTGTGGTGGTTTTTAGGCAAAAACGTCACGGACATAGCATGTCCGTGATGGGAGCGAAATACTGTAGCCCTTCACGTATAGGCATTTTTAAGAATTTTCTTTTTTTTAAATAGAAATCAAATATTGTATATAAAATATTATTTAAAAAATAACATTGTTTGGGTCAGATCCGATTTGGGTCTAGATCCATTGCCGGGCACAAATTGGGTCCAGATCCATTGCCAAACCTACATCATGTACGGATTTGGGTCATCCTTATTTTCAAAACACATTCGAGTTTTTGACAAAAGAGTCTCAAACGATTAGGGGCCACAAAAGAGCAAACCAAACTTGCTCTACTGTCCAAGCCCAAGCCATTGCCAACAAATAAATTGGAACGCTGAGGGGTGGGTTACTTTGCACGGCCCACTAAACGGGTTGCGCACTACTGTCTACATCTGCTTGCTTGTGGTGGAATAATACCCGCGGGTCACTGCTGTTCGTCGTTTTCTCAGCCCGCTCGTGGACCCTACTGTTGCGGAAGCATGCTGTCCGTCCACTCCCTCGAGTAGCAGATCTATTTTGGAAGGTTTTTTGAATTATTTAAAAATATTGAATTTTTAGTTTTCTAACACTTTGATCTCACCCTTAAAAAATTGCGGGTTTTTGGTCAGTCTTAAGACGTTATCTTTTTCAAGTGCGTAGAGTGGGATTCAAAATTTTACTTTTTTTTATGTTAGTCTTTACTACATCCCAAAACATAAGATATTAGAGTGTGGGTTCTATATGAGAAGTAATTATATATGGGAAAGGTTTATATGCTTCTCCTACATAATAGAAGTTCTATCCTCCCTTTACCATCTAACCGTCCAATTTTGATCAAAAGTGCCACTTACCGTTTGATCTTAGATCCGATGTCTCAAATTATTTTATTTTTAGTTTTTTTATACAAATTGTATGAATATGAAATTTGGTACGTGCCATCTTCTCATTGGGACGCACCTATTAAAAATATTTTTACCCCTTCAAGGGTATTTTGTTCATTTTATTTTATTGAAAATATTTTTTTATATTTTTCACTAGTGCGAGTTTAATAGAGGAATGGATGTCCAAAATTTAGTGTCAAAATAGTTTAAAAAAAATTTTAAAATAAAATAGTGTAGAGACATGACATTGTGATTGAGGGCAATCTTAGCCCTCCATTCAGAATGAAGTGTTGGATAAGGGGGAGGATAGAACTTCTATGCTGTAGGGGAAGCATAGAAAGCTTGCCCATTAGATATTATGCTCTTATACGAGTGTAGACACCCTCTACGAATTTAATTCATCTATGGGTTCAAAAACCTTGAAGCACACTATCTCAATACACAGTAGGACACACTGATCATAGTCCAAGCTCAAACCATTGTTCAGCTTAGAATATTCTTGATCTAGAACTACTAACCACCCCATTTTATGAAAAAATTCTTCAAAAATTTCTCAGTTTTTCAAGGACAATCCCATTCGGGTGCTTTCAAAATTTTGTAACTCGTGATCTTCGAAACTTTAATTTCCTTTTTAAAATTGTAAACTCGGCACCAGACTTTCTAAAATTGATTTTAAAAAAAAAGCAGTCCAATAAAACCCCACAAATGATGGCCTTCTCCACCACCACCAGTCGATCTTCAAAAAGTGCATTGGAAATGCCTACAAAGTAAGAAAAACCTACAAACTTGCGACACAATTGTCAGAAATCTTAAGGAAAACTCAAAGCCCTCAAACCCTTCATGTTAGAAACCTGAGGGGCAATGAATTTGGAAACAAAAGGCAAATTCAATTTCATTTTCACGTTCAAAACTATTAATTTATAATCGAGAAAAAAATGAGGAGTTCCTCATTGTCATTTGTTGCAAGTTTTACAGGCTACAATATCCAAAAAATGCTCAGGTCAAAGATACATGGAGAACATCGAAGTTCTCCCAAAATATTGAGTAGAATGGACGTTGACGTCCTGACATAACTGGGGGGTGGTCGTCCTCTGACCGATTGTTTGCAAAGGTTCAAGTTCTGCTTGTTGCAGGTGTCTCCTTCTTGACACTCATATGTTCCTTGAAGACGGTGAGTGTCAAAGAGAAACAACTGTAGATACACAATTTTGAAAGTGGCTTTATTCTTAGGTCTTTAAACCCGGCAATATAGTAACCTCAAACTCTTCAGGTTAGAAATCTAAGAGACAAGGAATCTTGGAACAAAGGCCAATTCAGTTTCATTTTCATGTTCAAAATTTTTAAGACTACAAACACTGGCATGGAGCCCAAGAAGAAGATTGAATTGTCTACAGGCGTCAACATTCAAAACATACTTAGGTTAAAAGATTTGTGAACAACCTCAAAGTTGTTTCAAAAGACTAATTAGGATGGATGTTAACGTGCCAACTAAACTGGTGGGCGGTCGTCCTTTGACCGATTAATTGTAAGGGTCAAGTTCTACCTGTTGCATGTATCTACTTTGCACTCACTTGATCCTTGAAGAACATGAAGTTCTAAAGAGAGAGAACTGTAGATATGCAATTTTGAAAATGGTTTTGTTCTTAGGTCCTTAAGCCCCAAACTTGTCCAG